TTTTTCTCAGTTGTCACTGAATTGATTTTTTTCAACGATATATCAAGAGATCACAAATGGTATCTAGTTTAGGATATTACTTTCAAAAATAGAAAATTTTCCTTAGTTTCCTTAGTTAGTAAGTAATCAAAATTTTCCCAAATAATTAAAATTGGTATATTTCATCATTTTATTAAATTTTTTTCTTAAAACTGCCAAAACCTTTTTTAAAAATGAACAATTCAGAATTTTTTTTTTTTTTATATAATTACCTTGAATTTTTTTATTCTTTTGGGTATATTATTATTAAAAACTGGACCATTAACCTGCTCCAAGGGTGGTATTCAAATTAGAAATTTTTATACTAAAATTAAAATTTTTCAGCTTAAGTTTTAAAATTGTTCCGGAAATACTGTGTTCTTTAAACATATGTTAAATTAAAGCTTATGTTACGTACTATAAATTAAAAATGAAGATTTTTCCCAAACTAGATAGACCTAGTTTCACCTATTATTTCTTCCTCTGATATCTTGTTGAATTTCATTTCACTCTACATATTTTTTTATTATGATTTAGAATTTGACATGGGAAAGTACTCGGCTTTAAAACAACCTTTAACATATTTTGATTTTATTTCATGTGAACATGAAACAAATCGCACTCAAATTGCTTGCAAATATAATCTAAATTTAAATGTAAAAAATACACATATTTTTGACTTTTTTGAAAAGGGACTTAGTGAAATAATAGATATGCTAAAGGAACATTTCTCACCTAAGCCCTACATTATTTATGAGGAAGAAGAATGGTAATATCCATACACCTCAATGTATTTCATGCACTAATTGCATTATTTTTATTATTAGGCAAGTATAAAATTACCTTTTACCATTCATTTATAATTTTTCCTAATTTTTATTTTTGGCCAAGTTTATTTAATTTATTTTATGGTAATTCAAAGCTGTAATAGTTTTCTATTTCAACGAATTAATATTTATTAAATTATCAAGATCATTTTTTTTTGCAATATTGTATTTATTTGACGAGTAATCGAGTGGTTCATGATAAACTGATCATTCTGTATACAGATAATAATAATAATAATAAAATAACTTTGAGTTTCAAATATAGACAATAATTTTTAATGCACAAAAGTAAATCTTCACAAATATATCCAATCAATTTCTTTCCTTTTATAATAAGTAAAACAAATTAAAAATAAAACAATGATCAATAAAACATGTACCAATATGTATTGGTGTTAATAATATTGTAAATAAGTAAACGTGTTTATTAACAATATAAACAATATACGATTCAAAGTCAATATACAGGGTGTTCAGTAAGTCAGGAAACGGGTATCTATTGTTCTCATTGTTTGTAACAATGAGAACAATAGATACCCGTTTCCTGACTTACTGAACACCCTGTATATTAAATTATTAATGAATAATATGTTCGATTAACTGTCTTCAATAAAAAAAAGTCATATTTTAATGTTTACTACACTATTAAAAAATCAACATTTTTTTTTCCTACTGATCATCTTTTGATAGTGGACTTTATTTATTTTTTAATATAAGGACATATTTTTATTTTAACATATGGGAGTATAATATAGTATATTGTCTTTAAAGCAGGAAGTAAAACATTTTATTTAACATCGTAATGTTTTCTATAACTGTTACATAATTGTAAGATCCTATATTAGATAATTCTAAGTAAAGGTATAAGAATATTCTCATTAAAAAAAGGTTGGGTCTCTATACGACACGTTCTTGGTAATGTATTAACGAATAATTTGTGCTGGTAAAAGTTAGGATTCAAAAGTTTTGTTTATTTTCAAAGCTAAAAGGTAGTGTTGTTAAAGATATAACTTTGTTGTATCTCCAACTGACATTGATACAACAGTTTAAAATATTTTATGTGAGTATTTTGTAAAAAAGCACTTTCTTCGTTATTTAAGCTAGTAAGCAGTTCAATTTTTAGTATTCATAAAAAAGCTCATAACAAATATACATATGGACACAAAAGCATAGGGTATATTAATAAAAAAAACTAACTAAAATATGTGTAAATTCAAAATATAATAATTTTTAACAACATTGTTTCTGATTTGGTCATGAATAATGTAATAGAACTTAATTACAACAAATAGTTTCTTAATAAATTACGACCTAAAAATAGTATAAAATTTTTTTTTTTAATTGTGTAAGTATATATCAGGTGGAAACATGGGTTCATTAGTGTTATTAATTATCTACGTTTATTTGTAGATGAGACTAAACGCTTAATTCTGTACCTGTATAAATAGGTGTAAATTTCACTTAATGTTATTTGAGCGCACAGCATATTTCAGGGGGGTGGAAGATTGTTGTCATGCGACAGCGAGGAGAACACACCGAAATGGACGGGCAATGGCTTATACGTAGGTAGTTATTATCATATTGCAATATACAAGCAGTTCCAAAATGGAAGTCCGACGAGAAATCGGACAAGGCGCAGCAGACTGGCAATAGCATATACATCAGTAGTTATTATACAGTCTAATACCGGACGGTCCGTGTTTTAGGTTATCCTTAAATATTTACCACAAAAATTAGCAAATTCTTTTTAACCAATAATTATTATAAATATATAGTTTCATTCAAAAATTATAAGATAAGTTAATTAATATGTTGAATTTTTATAAATATATTTGTTGGTCTTATCAATCCATTAAGTCATCTAGACATCATTTTATGTATTTTATTTTATTTTTTTTGTGATGCTCAGCAAGAATCCCTTAAATTTAATTTAGCTTTCTTAAAACAACTTTGACATATTCTTTGAATCTGTGGTGAATATATGGAAGGAGGCGTTTATGTTCCAACAACCAAAGCAAAACAATTTTTTGTCATTAAAATTAACATATTAATCAAATATTCTTTGATTAATTATTATGCTCTTTTCATTCAAATTCATTATGACATTATGCTTTATGCAAATTTTTAGTCGGATCTAGTATTAAGGGTATATTACTTTTGACATTTTACAGTCTAACAATAAAATATTATAAGTTGAGCATAACATTTATTTTTATTAATTGAAAAATATGTAGTTATTGACATTTATAATAATATTGAAACATATTAATCTAAAAAAATACATTAGTATATGAAGCATAATTAAAAGTATTATTATCTTTCAAAATATAATTAATAAAATCATTTAAATTATTAAGAATGAAATAACTTGACACAAGCTTTTCGTATCTAACTAGAGTTTCAGCATTATAAAACTGTAAAATTACAATTATTTTTAACTATTTAAATAAGTCAAATTCAATACTAAAAGCAAAATAACTACTCTTTGAAGTGGATTTTTTATGAATAATACTATATATAAAAAATTATTATTTTTAAAAATGGTATATTTTGACATTTTTTAAACTTTTTTTTTCTTAATTATCATAATTTTTTGAAAGATGAATTCATCTAAACANGTAGGTTATATATAAATTTCATTTTTATCTAACATACTTTTTCACTTTAATTTAAAAACCATATAAAAGGGAGACTAATTTTTATAAATGTTAAGTGACTGAAATTTACATTGAATGATTTATAAGTATAATACATATATTAAATTATTAAGAATGAAATAACTTGACACAAGCTTTTCGTATCTAACTAGAGTTTCAGCATTATAAAACTGTAAAATTACAATTATTTTTAACTATTTAAATAAGTCAAATTCAATACTAAAAGCAAAATAACTACTCTTTGAAGTGGATTTTTTATGAATAATACTATATATAAAAAATTATTATTTTTAAAAATGGTATATTTTGACATTTTTTAAACTTTTTTTTTCTTAATTATCATAATTTTTTGAAAGATGAATTCATCTAAACATTTTCTTTTTTTATAAATATCTTAGATATTTTCTTTTCTTTAGGTTTATACTTTTTGTTAATCTAAATTTTTAATTCTTAACTTTTTGAAAATTGAATGAATGAAAACAAATTTTTTTATATATATATATCTAAATTAATTTCCTTTTATATATTATGAACTTTTTGAAAATCCGTCATACAATGGGTTATTGAAAATAGCAATTTTTGCACAAAATGTTGACTTTTTCAACTGAAGTTTTGAAAATGTTCAGAAAATACTTCGAACATCAAAGATATGTTAAATTAAAGCTTATGTTACTTATTCAATTAAATTTTTTTTGTAGGTTATATATAAATTTCATTTTTATCTAACATACTTTTTCACTTTAATTTAAAAACCATATAAAAGGGAGACTAATTTTTATAAATGTTAAGTGACTGAAATTTACATTGAATGATTTATAAGTATAATACATGAATAAATACTTAGTTAGTTATTAAATTTATTAATTTAACAATTAATATTTAAAATTTAAAAGATAACATTTAAAATATAAAAGCTTAAAAGATAAACATTTTAAATTAAAACGTTTTATAATGATTTAAAATATAAATGTATAAAAGTTAAACATTTAAATTTAAACCATTAAAAAGTAAACATTTAAATTTTCAAAATTTACATGTTATACATTTATAATTTAATTTTTTTTTTTAATTTTTGAGTTAATATACATGTATGGTTTTTTATGGTGTCCATATTTACAAGTACACAGTATTTATTTTCAATGGTAGTAAGGTACATTGTTGTGAGTTTATAAATACGGTAACAGAAAGTATATCTATTAATAGTCATAATTGACAATAAACACTTCGTGACTGTGATAGCAACGTCATAAAAAACCAATTAGCTACCTGTATTTATAATCCTATTTGTAGTATACATATATATATTATATAATGTTCCGGAAGTATTCTAAACTTTAAGTATTTGTTAAATTAAAGTTTATATTATATAGTAAAGTTAACAGAAAAAAATTTGTCTCGACAACTTGTCTTCTATAAGTAAATAACCCCCAAACTTCAACAAAAAATTTTATTTCATGTAAATAATTCCGTTTTTATGTTATTAATTTTTATAAATTTTCATATAAAATGTTTTAATTTCATTGTATATCTTATCATTGATTTGTAAAAAAAAATAAAAAAATGTATAGAAAGTAATACCAAGGCCTAGCGCCATATATTTGCTAGTTTCATCATATCAAAATATCTACAGTAATAGGTGGTAGTTGAAGTCATTACATTTTTAGTTGTGATGGTAAAAGTAGTAGAAGTTCTGACCTCGAAAAAAAAGTATGAGCATCTGTGAGTCCAGTGTAGATTATCACAATAACCGGATTCGCGTGATTCGACTGTTAGACCGCGTCGTGTTCGAACTTCAATTGTATAATTACAATGTTTATTCTCCAAAAATGTTGGATGATCGCGATATTCCATTTATTGTTGACCACACGGTCTGGGCATGGTATGGCGTTTACAGTATTCACAGCTGTAATGCAATATTATAAAAATATCGCCCCTGGTCCAATTGATGCTGTGCCAGATACCACGCATATAAAAAAACAATATGATTTCATTGTAGTAGGTGCAGGTTCCGGAGGATCGGTAGTTGCCAATCGCTTGACTGAAATTCCAGATTGGACTGTTTTATTACTGGAAGCAGGTGGTGAGGAAAATGTTATGTCTGATATACCTTTATTAGTTAGCTACTTACTCGACATCGGATATGATTGGGGCTATAGGACGGAGAGACAGCCTGGCATATGTGGTGCTATGAAGGATCGTCGGTGTCGATGGCCACGCGGTAAAGCGATGGGTGGTTCTAGTGTCATTAATTACATGATGTACACTCGAGGTGTACCTGAAGACTATGACAATTGGGTCAAGCTGGGAAATCAAGGATGGAGTTACGCAGACGTTCTACCTTACTTCAAGAAATCTGAAGACGTTGGAATGGGGAATCCGTTATCATTGTCTCCGTATCACGGTATTGGTGGCTATTTGAAAGTTCAAGAACCCAAATGGAGAACCACACTTGCTCCAGTTTTTTTAAAAGCTGGTCAAGAGTTAGGATATTCTTTAACGGATGACTACAATGGACAGCAGCCGTTAGGTTTCTCTTATGTGCAATCCAATACAGATTTTGGTAGAAGGTGTAGTGCATCAAAATCATTCTTACGGCCAATCAGACAACGCCATAACTTGTCCATCACTAAAAAATCTTTTGTGACCAAAATTTTGATAGATCCTATAACCAAAAGAGCCTACGGCATTAAGTTTGTCAAGAATGGTCGCACGATTACTGTGTTAGCACGTAAAGAAGTTATAATTTGTGGAGGAACAATTAATACTCCTCAATTGTTAATGTTATCTGGAATCGGACCAGCCGATCACTTAAAAGAAATAGGGATTCCACTTATTGAAGATTTAAAAGTGGGCTTCAATCTACAGGATCATGCATCTATGGCGGGCTTAGTGTTTTTGGTTAACCAATCTGTCACTATTGTTGAGAGTAGATATCGACATCCTAAATATTTATTGCAATACACATTTAAAGGAGAAGGGCCATATACAATTCCAGGAGGTGCTGAAGCTGTAGCATTTACAGTCACAAAATATGCTAAAAATAGTACATTGGTACCTGACATGGAACTTGTGTTTGCACCTGGAGCGCTTACAGGTGACACTGGTGGTTCACTTCAAAGATTGTTGGGAATAGATGATTTATTTTATGAGCAAGCTTATGGTCATTACAGAGGACAAGATGCCTGGGGACTAGTTCCAATATTGCTTCGTCCAAATAGCCGAGGTCGAATTAAGTTGCGTTCCGCTAATCCCTTTCAGTTTCCATTATTATATGCCAATTACTTTACAGATCCACAAGATCGAAGAGTCTTAATTGAAGGCATTAAACAGGTAACAATTTAAATTTTTTAAAAATAGACCGCGTAAAAATATATTTTTAATACTTTTGATAAATTTTCGTGAGACTATAATATTATGAAAGTAATAAAATTATAGTTAGTTGTATTGTATAGATGTTACATCAAAAATATTACTTTGATAAAATAAAATAAACTTTTACATGAAATACATACAAACCTATCAACTTCAAATAATCTGATAAAGTGTGAAAGATGACAAATGAGGCTTGACCATAAAAACGGTCTTGTGTGTCAAACATATAATTGATTTTTTACGGAGTATAAATTTATTATTAAATATAAATAAATAATATACCCATAACAATCATATAATTACATTTTCTGAAAGAAGTAAAAATTGCAAATATTTAAAATATTATATAAGTACACCGTGATGTAGGAAAACTTTGATTTTGGGTATAATTTCTATAACGGTGTTTGTATTTTAATTTAAGAAGTAAAATAATTTTTAGAATTATTAGTTAATAATTTGTGATTAGAAATAAAATTTAAAATATTGATATTATCATTATTAAATGCAATTTTTGTTTTGTAGCTGTCAGTTATCTATTTGTTAATAATATAATTGATCTTGATTAACTTATTAATATTGATCGTTCATAATACTATTATGAAGAAAAATGACCATCAGTTATATAAACAGTATTAATAGATACTGGAAACTTAGTTTGTGTAACTATCATAGGCACGAATTCGGAGGGAGACCTGTAGGGACTTCAAGCCTTGCCCTCTGTAGCAACCTCCTCTTTAAAACAAAAAAAAATATTTTTAAAACAAAATTTTGGGAAGGGGTAATTATATACAATAGGTCCTTCAAAAATTTTGTTAAAATTGCGTCTAAGGTGACCTTTAGATGTAATAATATGCAAAGTTACAAGCAACTATATATTCTATAAATTTATTAATAATAAACATAAAATAAATAAATGGACTGAAATCAAACATTTTAATACTTATGTTATAACATTATAAATTATATTTTTGTATACAATAGTCAAAGTCCTTCTTAGAGCAAATTTTTAAAAGTTTTATAGTCACAACAATTAAATTGGCTATTCAAAAAAAGAATATTAAATATAAAAGCATATGTATTTACAGGGTATTTTTAATCTAACTGAGATCTGAATTTTTGTTATTTCAGTAAATCTATATGTTCAGTCAATATAAACTTGTATAGTCCAATAAAAATCTATTTTAACTATTTTAAACTAAATCTAACTATTTTATCTAAATTTTAATTTTAATAATCATTAAGCTAATTTAGTTTAAAAAAAAGTAATTGGTACAAATACATTGTTCAAATTTATCTATCGGCTCTATACAATGAATAAAGCAAAAAATTGTGACGTATGTTAACAAAACATTTTAACTTTGGTTCAAGTACTCATTTCCAATACTTAAGTTATTTATGTCGACTTTTTATCCAGAGCATAACCACAATAAATAAATTTTAGTTGGTATAACTGTCCTAGGAAAACGCATACTTCAACTATGTCAGTTTACAGTACGGAACTGTATAACTATATATTAAAAAATATATAATAGTTTATAATTATGTCTAACATAGATTAATATTCAGTATGGTTTATTGAGAGTACTAAATTTTTTTTTCATTTTTAAATATTCTACAAGTTTTCCCCTAATTTTTTAATCTTCTACAAAGTTTTAAAATACTCCACAAAACTTAAGTAAAAAAAACATGGTTTTTATTTAAATTGGCTAATTCACCATAAGTACACCGATTGGAATTACTCAGAATATTAAAAATTTTGTATTATTTATATGAACTTTAATTAAAATTTCTTAAAAACGACGTATACAGACGTATAAATATATACTTAGTTACTTTTATCTAGAGTTGTTAAAATACGGTATTTTATTTTTTTGTTGTATAATATCGTATAATACACGTATAATACTGTATAATACCGTATAAATCCTTGTAGCTCCTTAAAATTTGGGAAAAAATAAACTTTAGAGTGATTATTTTTCATAAAACGCAATAAATAAATGAGTACTTACTGAAAAAGCCTTTAGCAAAATTGATGAAAACAAAATGTTCAAAATGTTAAAATATTGAACTAAGATATTTCTCTATCCAGAATTCCTGTCTAGAGGATGATTTAGTATCAACTAAGTACCAACTACAGTCAATTTGCAACCAGAAACCACCCGTAATGTCTGAGAAGTCTGCTTTTTTAAACAAGTATAAATACACAATTGGAATTTTACCACATTAAAAACTTAAAATTTTTAATAACATAATAAATAAAATAATAAAACTCACTTTTTCTTAACAAAAAAAAATCCTATCCTTTAAATAAACTATTAAAAATTAAAATATGGCATCTTACTATTAATCTTAAAAATGATAATTGTATTAACATTTATTACCTTAAAAAAAATAACTTAAGCACCTTATCGATTATAAATTTTAGTATCACAGAGTACTAAGAATTAATTTTTATAAAGTATGAAATATTTTATAATCTTAATTTGTATATGCAATGACATTATCAAATAGTTCATCTGTTTCATTCTCGTTTCTTTCATTTTTTGATAGACGACCCATCTTAGTTCGTAATTTGCAAATAATACTTTAAACTTAAACAATTTAAATCACAAAACAAAATACTTTTACCACAGAATAGATTCACCTGTTCTGTGCTTTTATTTTCTTCCATTTGAACCGACATGCGTTGGCGCTTAAAATGTGACAAGATTATTGTGTGGTAATACTAAAAACATACTGAGACCACGGTTATACCGTACACAAGTCAATTGCTTTTGTTTGTTATGATAACCATGTTTCCCTGGCGGATCTGACAACTAATTTTGTTTTAAAAATATATCTATTAATCTACAATAATATTCACGATTATAGATACATTTAAATCTAATAATGAATCCATCTATATCATTAATTACAATTGCGTATATCAATTAAAATCAAATCCAAAAGAATATAAATGTTGATAAAGCATTTTTTTTTTTTTTTTGATACAGCTGGTATAAAATAATTATATACGCGTGTATCATACCTTGTATCATACCGTATAATACATATGTATAATACCGACTCACATCTCTACTTTTATCTAATGATACATCATAAAAATATTTCAAATCACTATTAACAAAAAATTGTTTTGTGAATAAAATGCTGTAATATGAAAAATTTTAAGAGAAAATTTACGTTGACAAGAATTTATATTGCACGTTCCATAAATAAGGGCAGTATTCATTTTAATTAGGTAGTTTTTAATCTATCGAATTTCATTGGAAATTTGTATTTAATGTTTATTTACATTGGTGTAGTGCCATTAAATTCAATGTAAACATATAGGCAAAGCAATCTATGAAAGCATTCCAAAGATTCTAATGTTTTTTTAATTTTTTTTTAGCTTAGTTTTTGTATTTCTTTACAATTTATATCATTTACAAGCCTCTGTTAATAAATTAATGTCATAATGATCAAAAAAAGTAATTGTTTTTTACAATTTAGGATAACAAATTTTTTGTTTATCACTAAAAGCTTAAATGATTTGCAAAATACATTATCAAATATGCTGTTATAATCAGGTTCATATAATAATTTTTAATATTAGATAATATTTGTCATAATATTATTTTTTAATAATAACATGAATTTCAATATTTTTGTGTCAATTTTTAAAATTTTATTATATATATATATATATGTATGTATAAGTTGATTTTTTAAAGGTATTCTATTATTTAATAACTAACAGGACTTCATTATTTTCGATTTCTTATTAGAAAATCATTTCTATTGTTTGAAAATTATAAAACATTTTTTAATCTATATAACATTTACAAAAATTGATTTTATTAGACCAAAAAAATGTGTGATATTTTATACGTCCACCATAAATTTTAAAACACTCAAAATATTAACTACTTTTTTCAAATTCCGTGTCATTGAAATAATCATTTTGAAGAGAATAATGATATAATAAGTATAACTAAATGATATTTCAGTAAGATCAGGAGCTAAAAATGTATTCGTTATCTAATGATTAAAAATAGAATACTTATTTTAATCAGTGTTATGAAGAATTATCAATTAAGTTTTTCATAAAATTATTCAAAAATAAATTAAAATTTTTATTCCTTTTTGACTTGAATAATGGAAATAATTACCAAACTTGATAATTTTATATATATAAATTCATGTGTTAAAATACATGTGTTTGTATGAGTGTAGAATTTATATTATTTTAGAAATTGAATTTTATTTCTTCGTTATAGTTAGTTAGTTTAATTACTATAACTTAGTTACTAATTTATAGTAATTAAATATGAAATATGGTAATAACAAATAAATAAATTATAAAATATTAATTTTTTCTTTATTATTTCTTAGATAAAAATTAAAAAACAGATATTTTAAATATTAATTGTATTTAATGTCATTATTTATTAAGTTTTATCTAAGTTATATTTCTTAATTTTACTGAATAATACAATAAGATAACCGATTTATTTTTAATCACACTTAATTATTTTAAGATTTAAGATTTAACACTTATAAATCTTTTTTTAGTTCATCTAACTTGGTTGTTTGTTTTTAAAGATAATTTTGAATTTTTAGATTTTTATAAGATAAAGGCTGTTATTATTCATATATATTTTTAAAGACAAAAAAGTCTTTTGTTGTATGCAAATAAATTATAAGTAAATTTGTCGCAATGAGGTTTGCATGGTTTTACAAAAATTGTAACCCACTAAAAATGTATATATATAATGGAACAGATCTAACTGACAACTCATCTAACTCATGATCCACGTAACATTTTATACTTTTTTTTTTTTTTAATCAATTTTTACAATTTAGAACTATATTTAAAATATGTTTTATATTATTTTTTTCAATTACAAAAAATATTAAATTAATTTTTTTATTAAAATTTTTTTTAAGATTTGATGATTTTATAGATAAGTTTCAGA